GCACAAGTCCTTTTTAAAGCGTTGAAGAGCAAAGATGTCAGTTTGAAGACTAAGATGAGCCTGACCCAAGCCTTATATGCATGTGAAAGTTGGACAGTGAATGAGGAAGACCATAGAAGAATTGATGCATTTGAATTATGATGTTGGAAAAGAAGATTGAAATTATCATGGACTGTCAAAAGAACCAACAGATCTGTGTGGGAAGTAAGTATAGCCAGAGTGCTTCTTGGAAGCCAGGATGGCCAGATATATTATCAGGAGGGACCAGTTCTTGCAGAAGGATATCATGTTTGGTAAAGTGGAGGGTTGAAGAAAAAGGAAGACCCTCAATGAGATGAATTTGTACAGTGGTGGCAGTGATGGGCTCGTGCTTAACAACGGTTGTGAGGTTGGCCCAGGATGGCAATGTTTCTTGCTGTTGTGCATAGTGTCGCTATGAGTCGGTACCAACTCAGTGGCATCTAACAACAGCAACAATGTAGGTTGCACAGAAACACCATCTTTTTCATAATCCTTTATTTTGTTTAAGAAAGCTGATTTTTATCTGCTGGAGGTAATTTACTTCTCTAAAATTCTGTAAGTAGCACTTTGTATACATGTATGCCTCTATTACAGGGGAGCGTGGTAGCTCTGTAGGATAAGCACTGGACTACTAACTACAAGGTTGGCATCTCAAGCCCACCAGCTACTCTGAAGGAGAAAGATGAAACTTTCTGCATCCACAAAGATTGCTATGAATCAGTCCCAACTCAACAGCACTTAACAACATCAGCCTCTATTGTGGAGCTGTATCATGTTCTGTTTTTCTACATCCTTACCCATTTGCAATAATGAATAGATTGTATGCCTCTTGATTTTTTTATTTTTTTTTTCTGATCTATCTTAATATCTTAACTAAACCTTGCATGCAGAATTGCCTAATCAGTTAATGTTTTTTAAGTAAGCCAGTAAGTTTATGTTCTGGTGATAGGTATAGAACTAAGGTTTCTCTTGAAGGCACTTATAGTTAAAATTAAACCATAGCATGCAGCCCCCTCCCATTAGTTTCATTTTATTCAGTTCCTTATGCTTTATGCCTACTGGTTATTTACACTTGTAGTGTAAAGTCTTCAGGATTAGAAGAAAATTATAAAAGTTTTGGGATAAATAAAACACTTATATTGCTGTGTGACAATCTAAGACTGCTTCAAATGGTTTCAATGGATTAACCATAAAGGAGCTTAGTATTTTTTAAACAAAAAGTAACAGTTGCCACTACTCTGTGCTGACATATGGCAGTTCCGTAAGTGTCAGAATAGAACTGCACGGCTTCTGAGGGTTTTCATTGTCACCATTTTTTGTTCTTGGAAGTAGATCACCAGGCCTTTCTTCTGAGGCTCCTTTGGATGAACATGAACCTTCAGCCTTTCAGTTTGCAGTCGAGCATGTTAACCATTTACACTATCCAGGGACTCCATCCAGTTGCCATAGAGTTGATTTTCACTCATGGCAACTTCATGTGTGTCAGAGTAGAACTGTGCTAGTTTGTCATCTGGGATGTGTCATCTGGTGCTATTCAAGTCTTGGCTTTCATTTAACTGTGTTTTGACATTTCTGGGTAAAGTAATACTGTAATTGTTTTAAAATGTTGACCCTTACTTACATGGTACCTTTTTTTGGTCATTTTCTCAAGTATTAAATATAATTTGGTATAAACATTTTCTAATAATTGATTTTGGGACTTCATGAAAATTAACTACTTTTTTTGTTGTTTAGATCAATATGAAAGATAATAAAAATGCCAAATATATTGAAAATCATATTCCATCTAATGATTTGAGAGCCTTTGTGTTTGAAAGCCAAGAAGATATGGAGGTTTTCCTCAAAGAGGCAAGTATGAATGAACAGTACTTTAACCCATTTGTACCTGCCTTTCACTGCTACATTTTTGACATCGCTAGAACAGTTAGAGAAAATTGTCATACAAAAGAATCATAGCAGTTAACTCCTAACATAAAATCACTCAGGTTTGATTATTTCTTCACTGTTTATACCACTGTTAGGAAATGAATTTATTTTATGAGAGGAAAGATAATCCATAGTTTCTTTGTCACAGGTTTTTTTAATTACTGTTAGGCGTTAATATGAAGAGTAATTCTGTTGTGTGTTTTTAAGGGAAAGAAACACAGTGGAAATCTTTTTGAAAATGTATCTGAAATGAGTTCAGGTTTTATTTGGTGGGGGAATCAGTATGATGTTGCTTATTAACATAACTTCTTTTTCAAAAGGAAAATCCTACGTCTGGTCAGAAAACAGTGCTGACTAAGAACCTAAGCCCCTGAAATGCAGAATGGCTTAGTAGTTAAGAGGACAAACTGCTGCTAAGTTTTAGGATTTGAATCTGGCTTTGCTACTGAATTGACTCAATGGCACCCAGTAACAGCAACTAACTTGGGCAAATTGCATGAATGATTTGTGCCTCCATTTTCTTATCTATAAAATGGGAGTAATATTATCTACTTTGTAAGGTAGTTGGTGAGGATTTATTCAGTAAAGTGGCTTGTTAGCCACTATTGTTATTAACATTCTTAAAAAGATTCCTTTTTCCTTTTGTATATACTTTCTACTTCCTTAAAAGCCCATAAAGGTTAAAGTATGGATTTTGTTTTGCTTTAAACCTTTAGCCCCAAGCCACCTACCACCATGGCATCAGTTCTGACTCACAGCGCTTCTGTGTAAGGTTTCTGAAATTAAATCTTTATTGGAGCAAACATCCTCATCTCTTTTCCTTGGAACAGCTTGTGGGTTTCAACTGCTGACCTTGCAGTTAGCTGGCAGCGCCTAACCCAGGTGTCACAATATGTAGATGTTGTTAAGTGCCACCGAGTCAGTTCCAACTCACAGCAACCCTGTATAGGGTTTCTGAGGAGCACCTGGTAGGTTTAAACTGCTGACCTTGTGGTTTGCAGTCCAGTGCCAATCCTACAGCGGTACCCCAGGAATCCAGACCTTCAATATAGCTAGTCTAAATGAGAATAGAAACTTGAATCAACTTACATTCAATTCTTCCTGGGAGAGCTTTCCACTCAGGGACCCCACCTGGTGGATTTGGGGTGGGTATCCCAGCTAGGGTGGGATGAGTAACTTTACTGGGGTCCCACAGTCTGATCAAAGAGAATTGTCTGAAGTTGTAAATTCCCCTCATGACTTTGTTGGGATTGTCAAGATTGCTGTCTGCAGCAAGGGTCTGGGCTCTATTACCTTCAGTGTTATGGTCCTGGCTGTGGGCCTGCCTTGGGCTCTGTCTCTGTCTCTAGAACCTGGGGGGTTCAGAGGTGCCTCAGCCAGCTTATTACCATGTCTCCCTCCTCTGGGCTAGGGGAAGCAAGGCAGGACTGTTTGCAGGGAGCTGGCCCCACTCAGCTCTCCCTGTCATGCCAGCTTACTCAGACTCTATAAGGCACTTAGGGTAGGGGACAACAGGACTGAGACAGCCAATTAGAACCCTTGTTCTCAGAGGGCTTGTACTCAAGGGGTACTCAAGGGGTAATGGGCCCAGCACTGCCTCTGGAGTGCAAGCCCCATAACAGACCCCTTATCTGTGCATAGTGACTGAGGTAGAGGGGCCTGACCCCTCTGTGTCTATGGTACGAGAGTGTTTAGAAGGAACCATTACTTGCTCTGACTTACCATATTGCCCTCCTCCTTCTTTGATGTGATGGGGGGGGATGAGGACATAACGCATCCCCACTTGAGCATTTGTCTTCCTAGGTCTAGCTCCAGCTGCCCCTAGCCACAGCTGCCCATGCAGCACTTCTTGCTTTAACCCTGACCCCCTTAGCTAGGTCAAAGTAAGTTGCCCTTCAGACTGTCCAGACAGTCCAAGACTTCAGATGGCAGATGCAAGTTTTCGAGTCCTGGGACTCCCTTGCTTCTGACCCTTCTGATCTGGCTCTATTTCCTCAAGTTATTTGCTAGAAAGAGTCACGTAGCTCATGACAGTTTTATTATAAAGGATACAAAAGCAGAACCAGCATAAGGACAGAGTCTAGGTGGGATCCAAGGAGGAACTTCTGTCTCCCAAACAGGGTGTGCCATCCTTCGTTCCCCATCTAAGAAGCTTCTGGGGATTGAGTGTGCAGGACTTTTATTGGTGTCCTGAAATGTATTGTATAGAACCTTCTACTGTAATTGTTTCTAAAGTATTCTAACAGCAAATATATTACCAGCACCAAATTAGAAAACAAAAGAAGATTGATGTTAAGTGTTGTCAAGTCGGTTCTGACTCATAGTGACCCTGTAGAGGGTTTCTGAGGAGTGGCTGGTGAGATTGAACTGCCAACCTTATGGTTCATACAGACCTTATGGTTGAGTTCTTATCCTACAGCATCACATCATCCAAAAAGAACTTTAACAAGGAGTTATTCTGGTACTATACTGCCGCCTTCTCCTTGGCATAATTAGAAATATTGAAAAGGAGATTACTTTCTCATTGTGTAATTCAGTTTTATTTAGTTAACCCTAAAACAGTTGTTATTAAATGTTACTGAGTTGGTTCCAACTCTAAGCAACCCTGTATATAGTTTCCAAGGAGCGTCTGATGGGTTTGAACCTTTCAGCTCACTGTTCAGTGCTTATCCTACAACACCATACCAGGACTCTTAACACAACAGATTTTAAAAACTTAATGAACCCATGTACCAGCTTAAAGTTTTATTGGCTGTGGTCAATATTATTTCTTTTATATCTCCACTCATACTATTTTTGAAATAACTTCTTGTTTTGATAAGATTTTAGAGTCTAAAATAGTCATTTCCTGGTGTGGCATTGTAGAATAAGCATTGGACTACTAACTGCAAGGTCAGTAGTTCAAACCCACCAGCTACCCCTCTTAAACCCTATACAGAGTCACTATGAGTTGGAACCAACTGGACGCTACTTAACACCACCACCACCACAACTTAGAACTCAGTTCAACTGGGTGTCGATTTCTGTATTCCCCTAAAGCAAACCTGGTGTTTCTGTGCATGAAAGCACATGTGAAATTCACACTGTATACAGACTGTTAGCAGTATTTTAATTATTTAGAACAAATTTGTGTTTTGAAAACAAGCATTGTAGCAAAACTGACCATTTTTCCCTTTGAAATTTTTTGTATGGAGATACTTTTAAGTATCCTGTTCTTCATGAAACTGCGCCTGCTGGGTTTAACAGTTAACAGTGAGCTTGCTAGGTTAAACAACTAGTAACACTGAATCTAAAATGATCATTTCTATGTATTTATTACTTGAGTTTCTACTCTAAGGAAGAGCTTTCTTTGTCAGTTATTTATTTGTTCACTCATTTATCATATAGTGTAGGCCAAGAATATTATTTTATTTTATGGTTTGTATACTTTTTTTAATGTTCAAATTAATTATGTTTTTAGTAAAGATTTACACAGCAAATTAGGTTCCCATTTGTCAATTTCTAGGCAAATTGTTTAGTGACATTATAGGTACATGTTTCACAATGTACCAATATTATCTTTATGTGTTATTTTATCAGGTGTTCAGTTGACACAGTTTACACAGCAAGTTAGGTTTCCATTTGATAGTTTCCACACAAGTTATTCACTAGCATTAGTTACATTAATCACAATATGTCAGTGTTATCTTTAATTGTATTCAGTTTCTTCCCTTTGGTTATCTTAACTGTTTTGTTCCTGGTGAGAAGAGGCCCATAGTGGTGTCGTAGATGGACACATTTAGGTCTTCATTGAACATATGTGCCTGTACCCACATAGTTGTATGTTCAGGTATCTGTGGCTACTTCTCTTCACACCAGTGTCCATATCTGCACCTATTCGCGTACCAGTTTGCCTTTCCTCATTCACATGTACTTATACAATTTTACCTTTGTCGTGCTATGCTCAGTCCATCCACATTCACTGCCACTTTTCCCGTCACCAAAAATGATTAGTCTCTATTATATAAAGCATAGTTTTCCCACCCCCACTTCTTGACAACCAATAATGAACATTGGTATTCCTGTATTAACTAAGTCGTACCTTTTTATGAAAGGCATCATTCAGTGTCCTTTATGTGTGATTTATTCGATTCAGCATTATGCCTGCAGGGCCATCCATGTTATGTCTCCTGGGCAATGATGACAGTGTTCTTTATGGTTATGTAATACTCCATGTGGTAGCTGTACCAAAAGAATTTCAAATACCCAGCAGCATCAGCCATGGTGGACTGGTTTCAGCAGAGCTTCCAGACTAAGAGCTGGAAGAAGGGTCTGTTGTAGATTGAATTGTGTTCTCAAAAATATTGTTGAAATCCTAACTCCTAAAAACCTGTGGATTAAATGCCATTTGGGAATAGAATTCTCTTCATAGTACTAACTAGGCCATTATCATTGTGGGGTGTATCTTAAACATAATGACTTTTGTGCTATAAAATGGGCAGGTTAGACACAGAGAAAAGCAAGCACAAAAGGGGAAATACCCAGAGATTGGCAAGGAACAGTGGAATTCCAAGAACACTAAAGAAGCTGGTGATTTTCCTCTAGAAAAGAGTCGGCTCCTCCAGATGGTATCCTCAATTCAGTCTTTTAGCCCCAAAACTGTAAAACCACCACTTGTCTATCAGTTTGTCATAGTGATGGCTTGCATGTTACTGTGATTTTGGAAGCTATGCTACTGAAATTTGAAACATCAGCAGGGTATCCCATGGTGGACAAATGTCAGTGAAGTTTCTAGACTCAAACAGATTGGGAAGAAAGACCTGATCATCTATTTCTTAAAAAAAAAAAAAAAAATGGACATTGAAAACTTTTTGAATAAAAGGACATTGAACATTTTGATATATACTGCCAGAAGGTGGGTCCCTGAGGTTGGCAGGCAGAAT